AAAGTTTGCTAATTTCCTAAGAAAATACGCGCGCGGTGTCTGTCCGAAAAAAATCCCCGGCCAATTATATGTCGACTTCGCGACGGCGGAAGGAAAGAACGCGGACCAAGGTCGCCGCCGCCGTGTGATCTCCCGACGAACCGCCGCTGCCTCGCGGGACGGAAATGCGGCCGTCTTTCGCGGAAATACTCGCCGCAGTTTCCGTCGATAAAATAACTGTCGACCCACATTTCCGAGAGGCTCGCGAAAATTCGTCTCGCCGAGAGACGCGACTTCGGAGTTACTCACTCAAATTCCTCGGGCTCGTTCAATCATACCGCCGTGCAAAAGCCTCGCAAAAAACTCGCGGCTTTTTCTCTCTCACACGCCTAGTGTTACACACACCTCACCAAATGACAGAGCTGTGATTGTGCGAAAAGGATCCGCTGTAGCTTCGAAAATTCCGAAAGCGATCGAAACGACCGCGACGGGGGGAAACAGACGCTTCTGCTTGTCCCTCTCTCCCCCTTCCGAATCCGAAGAAGGAAAATTGAAAAATTATACCTACCTTTGGTGCGCTTCCACTCGTCTCGGATTCGTTCGGCGCGGTTCGCATTTCGCGCACGCGCGCGCGACTTATCAGCGCCTCGAGAGCGCGCTCGCATACGTACGCACACACCAAACGCCTCAGTTTTACACCACTTTATACAAATTTATTACTCTCTTAAACACAATTTCGCTTTGTTCGGTTGTTGTCTGTTTCTCGATCGTCGTCGCCGTCGTCGTCGTCGTAATCGTAAATTGTAATCGTCGCCGCCGACGACGTATGCAAAAGAACCTTAAGAGGAAGTATACGTATTATTTCGGCTTTACAAAAGTTACATCTAGGTGTCCGGCGCGCATGTAGCTCGTTGACCCTCTCTCTCTCTCTCTCTCTCTCTCTCTCTCTCTCTCTCTCTCTCTCTCTCTCTCTCTCTCTCTCTCTCTCTTCTCTCTCTCTTCTCTCTCTCTCTCTCGCTCTCTCTCTCTCTCTCTCTCTCGCTCTCTCTCCCTTTCCTTTCTCATCCCGACGTGCACCACGTATTCTTTCTTCCTGCGACTCCCTTTCCGCGTGATCCTACCGACATCTTCTCCTCTCTTCGCTGGCGAGAGCGGAGTCGTCAGGAGCGCCGATCAACTCCCGCCAGAAGCGCTCTCGAGGACGAGCGCACTTCGCGCGTGTTGAAAGATACGAGAATAAAAACACGCTCTCCTCTCATCGTCGTCGCCGAGCTCCGCTCATCCGTCAAAATCGAGCGAGCGCGTCCTTCAGAATAATCCTCGCAATAAGATGGTAGGAAATTATCTCGCTTCCTGATTCAACAAAGTTGAGTCTTTCAGTCACCCGTCGTCACCCGATGAGCGAAGGACGAAACGCGTGAGGAGCACGAGAAGTAAAATTCTCGGGATACGTAATTATCGAGCCAGTCGGCTAAGATGAAGTCTTCTGTTAGGTCGGCGTGCGAGAGATTCGTCATTTCTCTACCAAACGCTCGCGGAAAGTTTGGGTATTGAAAGGAAGATAAAAAGTTCTCGTTAGATAACCTCGTGAGAAGTCCGAAAAAAATAGAGCGCGTCGACGTCGCGCTCGTCTTGCTCGCGAAAATTAATCCTCCGGAATTCATTCCGATAAGTCTCGCTCGCGCAAACACGACGAACCTTCTGCACTGCGATCTGCGATACTCGCTCTATCAGATCGATTGCGCAACGTCGAGATGCGCGTCCGCGCATTCTCTTATCACTCGACGATATTCTCGCCGATTATTATCGACGTCGGCGCGATACATCGCGCTCTCTCTCTCTCTCTCTCTCTCTCTCTCTCTCTCTCTCTCTCTCTCTCTCTGTGTGTGTGTGTTCCTCCTCGTGTTTTTATTTTCGTATCTCGTCTCGCGTACCTCGACCGTTATACTTCCATTCGAGCGGCTCCGATAATCTCTCCTTCCCCTCTCCGGCCTCGCGCAACATACGGCATACGCGAAGCGTGTAGTGCCGTAATGCTAACGAGCGCCGATTTCGCCGACATTCGCCTCAACTTTAACCGGCCGTACAATCACACCAACACACACCTTCACCTCTCCACCCCGCAAGAGCGACCTCGGCGCCTCGCGCGAACTAGCCGAGTGTGCTTGAGGTTGCGACGAGTCGCAACAAGCCGCGAGTGGTTTACAGCCGCCAGCGAGATAGAAAAGCGCGGCGCATTTGCAAAACACTTTTCCAAATATCGCCTGTCGCGCCTTCTCGATCGCGCCGAACATTTTCATACGTCGCGATATTTTTTATAAACGTCGCACGGGACACCATCGTGACGAGACGTCACTGCTGTTCTTTGCAATTGAGTGCAAAAATTCACCGTCATCCTCCTCGATTCGCGGACGATGATTTCGCGCGATGATTCAGTACCCCGAGTCCCTCCAGCGTGCCCAAACACAGCACAGACACCTAAAAGACGACAATGAACGACACTCAAAAATATCTGAAAAGCTGTAATGAGCTGTTTCTCAGACATCTCTCTAAGCCTAATTTAGTTGTCACGTGAAATATGTCTCGTATGAGACTTCAACCGACAGATTCGATTTCTCTCTTCAGTTGAATCGCATGATATATCACTTCGCGACTCAGCTGGAAAATCGAGCCTCGAACTCGACTCTAAATAACTCATTTGAGACAAGCTTCAAGTAATGAATCTATCTATTGGCGTGAATCTAAAACGTCCTTTAGAAATTTACACTGTCCGGCTATAATTTCGAGCAAGTCGATCAAGTTGTCTCTCCGGAAGCTCCCGAAACTGTTCGATGGGCGAAGGTAAGATGCGACGTCTCATCTCAGAGACGAAGGGAGCCGGTTAAAATCGACCGATGCCAGCGAGAGCGGTACCGAGAGGGGAAGAGCGCGCGGCTCACACACACCTGATGATTCTCTCTCTCTCTCTCTCTCTCTCTCTCTCGTCCTGACGAGAGAGGACACGCGGAAACGGAGTCGCGGAAGAGCGAGAACGACACCGGTGCCTGGACGACGAGTGTATGCCTAGGAGTCACTTTGCTTCTGATGCGGTTTTCCTTTTTTATTACAATTATTACTTCAATATTTATTCCTTCCTTTTTTATCAATAAAAATCGTTACATAGTAGTTTGGGCCGCTGCTTGGCGTCTGACGAATCGACAAGCAACCAGTTATAGTAATAATAGCAGTAGTAGTAATAGTAATAGTAATAATTGGTAGCGGTAGTCGTGTACGTGTACGTAAAATGAGTGTATATGTATGTGTATGTGTATGTGTGTGTGTATGTCATGTCGCGTGTGGCCGCTCCGTGCGTCGACAAACCTGCGCACGCGCGCAGGTGAGAGACAAAACGTTCAGACACACGGCAAGAATCCGTGCAGCAGGTGCATGCAGTCGGCCACGTGGGGTCGGCCTCGTCCTCGACGAGATTCCCGTTGTGTTCGAGAAATCGCCGGACCGTCGGCAATTTCGCCGACGAATTTCCACGCGCCTATCGCGTTTCTCCCCATTGTCCGAGCAGACGCGGCTGAAGAGAGCAGCCAAGAAGCGCTAAAAGAGCAGGCAAGACGAGTCCGCGACAAAGTAAGAGCAGGAGGGGGGAGAACGGAACGTGAATCTCCAAACAATAGGACGACACCGTAGAGGCGAGCGACTATCGTCGATGATGATGACGACGTCGGCGGGATAAGAGATAAGGAGACGAGACAGGAAGGAAGAGATAGACAGGTCGACAGGGAGGGGAAGATAAAAGCGGCGATTAGAGCGATTAGATGGCGGCTCGACGTTGCTCGACGTTGCTCGACGTTGACGTTGTCATTGTCGTCGTGCCGAAAACTCGAGCTGGATATCACGCGCAAAAATCGCTTCGAAGCCGCGCGTGAAGCTTCCGCTGATACCGCGCAGGCTGTTTGCTTCGTCGTCAAGTATGCTCCTCCTGCGGCGCGATTTTTTAACTCGTTATTGGAGTTAATGACACTTTCGTTATCGCTTATGCGCAGCTTTTGTATACCGTAGAAAAGCTGCGCAACGATAACGAAATTGTCGTTAACTCCAATAACGAGTTCAAGAATCGCACCATTGCCGACATACGCGCTGGCGGATCGATAGGAAAAATAATTATGCCGTTTTCTTCGTCATGCGCTCACGCAATTATGTCGAGTCGCGCGGAAAGGAAACACGACGCGCTAAAAAAAAAAAAAAAAAAAACAGATTGAATGAATGAGAAAGGAAAATCAAGCGAACGCTCTCACTCGCCGAAATTCTTGTGCGACGCACGCTGAAATTTCCACATACCCCGGCTGCTCCTTGTGCGCGAACTGATCGAGAGAAAGAAAAGCGACGTGCGGAATTCGCGAAATTTTACCTTCATATTACCATTCACGCCCCAGGGTCTTCACACGCTGGACGAATCTCGCGAGCGAGTCCTGCTCTGTCGCGGTCTGTCTGCTCGGAATCCGAAGCCGTGTCGTGCTCTTCCTCTTTGTCTTCGCGTCCACGTGCTCGTGTTGGATGCGGACGTGTTTGTGAGTCCATGTGTGTGTGCGTGTGCGTGTGTGCCTGTATGTCTCTATGTTCATACATATGCGCTGCTGTGTATCTGTTTTTTTTTTCTGCGACTCTCTCTCCTACTCTCTCTCTCTCTCTCTCTCTCTCTCTCTCTCTCTCTCTCTCTCTCTCACGCTTTCTCTCTCGCTCGCTCTTTCTCTCTCGCTTACTTACTCATATCTCTCTCTCTCTCTCTCTCTCTCTCTCTCTCTCTCTCTCTCGCGCTCTCCTATCATCGATAAAAATCTCAGCGTTTTATGACACATCGTTCGTCGTTTTGTTTTTATTCCTCTTACACATAGCAATAATAGGGACAGTAAATAGCTAAAAGGACCGTATCGATTCTTGGGGGGATGGGGGAGGCGGCCAGGATTGCAGCCAATCCGTGCCGTATCACCACCCGCTGCCGCATGCTCGCCCGCATTGTCATCGTTATATCGTCATCATTATCATTGTCATCAACATCATATATCATATATCGCCCGCCGTCACCGTTATCGCTATCATCATCCCTCCGTCCTCGTTATTTTAGCCCTCTTTCACTCGCTCCACAATCTCTCTCCCTTTCTCTCTCTCTTTCTCGCGCGCGCGCGCGCACACTCTCTCACTCTCGTTCTCCCCACACTTCACCTGCTGTTGCTGCTGCTTCTTCTTTTTCTTCTTCTTCTTCTTCTTCTTCTTCTTCAACGCTCATTATCTCGCCGTCAGTTTCGAAATATTTTTCGCGATCATCCCTGCCATCGCATTTTTTTCCCAGTCTCTTTCATTCTCACATTCGCGCTCTCTCACTCACTCTCGTGTTCGCTTTCAATCCAAATGCACCTCTCATACTCTCTTTCTCTTCATTTTCTCTCTCCCTCCCTCCCTCCCTCCCTCTCTCTCTCTCTCTCTCTCTCTCTCTCTCTCTCTCTCTCTCATTCAACCTCATCAAATTTTCCCGACATTCGCTACTACATCTTTTATTCCCACCCTCGCTCTCCCTCTCTTTCTCACTCGCACGCGCTCACCCTTTCGTGCCCTACGAAAAAGACTGTAAACCTCTAACACAATATTTTATTATTAATATTTATTATCATTACTTCTTATACGTAATTCATGTGTATGTGTGTCGTATCTCTATCGGCGAAACGCCGCCAAGCAGTCACAAAAGTTCAAGTGTCGCGCTTTCACTCTCTCACTCTCTCTCTCTCTCTCTCTCTCTCTCTCTCTCTCTCTCTCTCTCTCTCTCTCTCTCTCTCTCTCTCTCTCTCCCTCTCTCTCTCTCTCCCCCACTCTCTTTCTCCTTGATATCCGTCAATTTCACTGATATCACCGATGTGTGCGTGCATATGTGTACATGTATGTGTGATTCATCGTTACGTGCGAGTGTGCGAGACGAAACGAAGAGCGAGTGCACGCGGATATTCTCCGAAAAAAGCCCAGGACGCGCCGCGCTGACCAACGGCACCATGCTGCGCGGCTACGAGACGGCTCACGTATGATTCACGCATCATACCCGTCGGTGTCCCAGCACGGTGTCCGGATCGGCGGAGCGCAGCTAATGACGCTTGAGGTGCGCGCGATTCAAGGCGAGAGCGATCGCTTCCGCGCGGAGACCGAGGACGCTCCTCCCCCAACAACGCCGGGGTTGTTCGCGTCGACCACCCTCGTCGGATCGCTTCGGTCGAACATGCCGACCGACCCATCGCTCATGTATCCTTCCAGCCGATGTGAGCTCGTGAAGAGCAAAAAGTTTCACCGGCGAGTTCAGGCCTCGCGACTTTCCGCGAGTATCGAACTCCTCGCTGAAACTTTTCACTTCCCACGGGATCGCATCGGCCGCGAGGACCCACGATCGATACCCTGAGAAACGGGTCGATCCCCGAAGGGATGGCACGCGTCTCCCCGAGACGCTGGGGCTAAAAGTTCGTCCTGCACGCTCTCGTGCTGCGAGCATCATTCTACCCTTATCGCTCGTCGCACAGGTAGAATGACGCTCCCAGCAGATGCGAAGCGTGCAAGACGAGCTCAGGCATCGTCGTCGGAAGCAGCGAAGCGCGACGCACCCCGTTCTCGTCGTCTCATTCCCGATCGATCGCTTCGCTCGCTCGTTCGCTCGCTCGCTCGCGATCCAGACGCGGGCGATTCCGCGCGCGTCGCGTCGCGATCCGCTTCGCCGCCGTTCTCGGTCGCGCGTCGAACGGCTCGTCGCGTAGAGAGCAGATGTGACAGTCGCATTTATCGTGGGTCGTACACCCTCGCTACCGCGCTAACCGGCGTCGCCGACGTCCCCGCGCGTTATGTCCGCACGAGGTGCGAGTACGCTTGCCACTCTTTCGTCAGGGCTTGAAGACACCTTCTCCGGCGCGCGACTCCCAACACCGCCGATTATCCAACGAGGGAACTTGTTTTTTTCTTTCTTTTTTTCTCATTAGTTCCCAGAAGTTAAGTTCCCTCGTCGAAGCACCGGCCGCGTCCCGGCGGAGGACGCTCGTCGAAGGACGAAGAACGTTCAAGCAGCGAGTGTCGGAGGCGACCGTACACGCGTCTACGGGATTTCGACGCGTAGATGCTTAAGTACGTATACGTGTTCGTCGCTTCGCGAGGACGCGGTTGTCTGCGTGCGTGCATGCGTGCGTGCGTGCGTGCGCGCGCGTAGTATGTGTTTCTTGTGTGCACGTGTGTAGGGGTAGCGGCGAAGGGAGGGACGAAGCGTGAGGAGAGGAGAGAGAGAGAGAGAGAGAGAGAGAGAGAGAGAGAGAGAGAGAGAGAGAGAGAGAGAAAAGATGAAGAAGGGAGAAAGGGTGGCAAGAAGGAAGGGTGCCGCGCGTAGTTTTTACGTATGTGCGTGCGTACGTGTATTCGTGCGCGGACGCGCGCACGCTCGCGTGCTTGCCTTCTTTGCCCGATTTTCACGTCACGTCAAAGAGCCGAAGAGGAGAGAATGATGACTCGGAGTGGTGGTGGTGAATGGTAGTTGCGGTTGTTGTAGTAGTAGTAGTAGTGGTATTGTTGTTGTTGTTGTAGTTGTTGTAGTTGTTGTTGTCGATGTAGATTGTTGTTGCTTCTCATCGTGGGGCCGCGCGGCAGGCTTGCGGCAGTTCCGGCGCGACTCGTGCGGCATGGCGCATTCCATTCGCTGTTTCATTAAAATAATCGACCGTATTGTTTATTATTAATAATTGATGTTTTGTGTTGGGTCCCAGAGGTTACTGAAACAGAAAGCAGGGTTAGGGCGCAGGTTAGTCGGCTGGCTGGCTGCAGGCTGCCGAGAGGGTGGATCGCCGTTGGTCCGCGAGCACCTTCGCGCGTTTACCCTCGCGGACGAGGGTGAGAATAGCGCGCGAGACGAGACGAGACGAGCGCGGAAGCTAGCTCGTCGTCGTCGTCGCCGGGCGCGCTGCTGGATATTAATCGATTAAAAGGGAAGGTCGAGCCGGCTGAAATACGGGAAATCGATACGGGGTAAATCGAGCGATTACATGCGCTTGATAATCGCTTCTCTCGACCGGTCTCGCTTCGTCCCGCTTAATTATACACCGATGAATAATTCATTTCTTCAACCGGTTCAATCATCGCTCGTACGCGTATGACGGTTACGCGTATGACGACTCATTAATTTCACGATTCATTAATCACCGATTTGCCGACTACTTGAGTCAACCGGGATTTTTTAATCGATTCTTTGCGCCGGCACTGCTACCTCGACACGTGACCTTGAGGTTTTCTTCGGAAGAAGTGCACGGAGAAGAACAGAGCGGCTGAATTAACGTGACAATGAGACGCGCGCGAGCCGAACTCGCGCGTTCTGCTGGGAGGACGCGGGACTTCCGGTTCTCATGAGCCAAATTCACCTGTAAGAAACAGAAATTCCGTTTCCTTCGATGAAAACGCGCGCGGCGGGGGCGTTTGGTTCTCACGTTAATTCGACCGATTTCTTATCTCGCGCTCACGGCGCGGAATCGGCAGAGCAAACATCGAAATCCGGAACGACCTTTTCTCCGTTCAGGAAAAACCGGGATGGTTTCGGCCGAAGATAAAATAAAGACGTTGAGAAGATAGAGAGCGACATCGCGGACGCGGTCCGCAACGTCGAACGTTCACTTTTACGCGGGTATTTTCTATTCCTGTCTTCTCTCGCCTACGCAACAGTCGCGAGAAATAGTAGTCCTACGTATTCATCGTGACAATCTAATCAGCGGCACGTTTAACATTCCCACCTCTACCTGTCACGCGCGCGTTTCACGTTTGCCCGAATCAAAATCCACCGAGTCACCCAGCCGGCGTTTCCTCGGCGACTCGCTCGTCGAGGTTTTCGGTGCACGTTCTTCAACATTCAAATACACCGCGCTGCCTCGTAGCCTCGAGTCTCGGATGGAAACGCGAGCGACGGCACGAATGCGAGAGGAATCGAGCGGGCGATTATCCGCGAACAAAAGCGACAACGACGACGACGACGTCGACGGCTCGTCTCATCTCGGCGCGCAGAGAAAAATATTTATCGTTCCCCTCCGCGGTCATACCACCTCTCCCTCTCATCGGCTCGAGGCGAATACGCAAGTGCGGTGTGATTAGTCATCGCCGCAAGCTGATATCAGGCTAAAACGCTCGCTCGAGAATTATCCGCGTGAGTCACGCGAAGCTGCATCGCGTCGTATCGACGCGTCGCCTGAAAATCGAGCGGAGCACCGTTCCCCGACGTGTTACCTTTTTAATAATTTCCTCCCCCTCGATTTTCCACGAGCGTGCGCGTCACGAGCTCGCTTTCGACTTCTCGCGAACGATGACGTCCGCGTGGAAAAATCGCGGCTGCCGCGACCTCGTCTCCCCTCCCGAAACTTTGATCTCTCTTCTACGGGCGTGTTATAAATAGGAATGCAACGATAAATTGATAATATCGAAATATCGATAATATCGAGAGACGAATATCGAATATTTATCGATATTCTTTGTCTCCGATAAAATCGATATATCGATATGAATTTTACTGATATTTCGTATTTTTCAATTACAGCCCTGGGAATCAATTACGGTTCTACGACCGAGATGAAAATGACAAAAGTGAGTGAATTCACTGGAATATATATTGTGTAATTGGTCGATGTCTAGTAAATTCGCTCATTTTCATCATTTTCACCTCCATCGTTGAACCGTAATAGATCTGCTCCATATATGCGGTGATCTCCGGTAAACGACTGCGGTTTATTATATATTTTCTAATAAGAATATGACAGTAAATTATATGAAGATAAAAATTTTTAAAAGATCTTTTTAAATTTTTCGTATATACCCTTCATACCCCTATACCCCTGTATGTACACATTTTTTATATAAACATCGATATTTTTCAAAATTATCGATATTATTGTTATCGATGGTTCTTAACGACGATAATATCGTTATCGATATTTTGAGAAATCGTTGCATCCCTAGTTATAAAGCGTGCAACGGTAAATAGATCAAGGGGGGAGTTAGGTGCGGAGCAGGCCGTTTTCAAGGCTATTTTTACGAATTTTCTTAACAAAAACGGTAGAATCAATGGACTTGAAATTTTCACAGTGTATTCATTAATGTTCAAAGTATAAGATAAATTTCTTACTATCTATATGGAAAGTACACATCAAACTCTAAACGCGTTTATCTGGAAACACCATTTTCTCAAACTGTCGACACGATTACGCAAAAATTACTGAACCGAATAACTTGAAATTTTTACACAACATGCAATAGACATGTAGTTTTCGCTCCTACCTCGAACACAGTTATATTTTATTTTGTTCATTTTTTTAAATATGATGTACAAGTTAAAAAAATTTCGTTTTCAATACTTTTTTCTTTGTATAGTTATTTTTCCAAACTTGGCTTCACTGCCTTCACACGGGCAACCGTATATTTTAAAAACCTTTCTCATCTTTTGATTTCAGAGTAGTGAGAGGCCCGGAATTACGTCGACAGCAAACATGGAGCTCGCAAACGGATGATTGCATTTTTACCTATAATTTTACCTATAATTACAAATTGGATCGGTTCTTATGATTCAATAAAATTTATTTCATACTTTGAACATTAATGAACACACTGTGGAAATTTCAAGTCCATTGATCTTACCATTTATGTTAAAAGAATTCGTAAAAACAGCCTTGAAAACGGCTTTCTGCATAATAATAATTCCCCCCTTAAAGCTTAAAAAAATATAATAGGACACATAAAGATCACACAAACACATACACACACGCATACATACACAAACATTTGAAGTACACAGATACATAAATAAAATAAAGACGGCTCTCTCTCTTTCTCTTTCAATGTTGTGCCGCAAATGTCCCGGATCGCGGATTCCGCGAGCAACCCCGCGCGTGTTCTCTCCGCGAAATAATAATTTTTCCTTGGGACGCGCGCTGAAGATACGCGTTCTCTTGCGTGACCGAGAGCACCGCGACGCGGCTATTGCAATATATATCTGCGCTGACAAAGCGTCCACTTATGCGACGACCGTCGAGAGTGGTGCGGGACGCGAGTTAATCGCGAGAAACGACCGGGCGAAATCGGTTTTATGCCGCGTTATTTGTCTCAACCGTGCGGTCAGGCCGTGCCGGAGGATTTTCTGCAATTTGTTACCGCACGGCGAACATTGCATAATACGAGGGCGAACGTATTCTTGGAAGGCGCACAATTCGCGCTGGACGCGTTACAATGCATGGTAATAATAATAATAATAATAATAATAATAATAATAATAATAATAATTGTATCGTAGGAAGAATGTCTTGTCGCTGCTTCGACGCAAAGCAGTGTTTCGTGAGTTCTTTCCTTCATCGCAGCGCGCTTATGTAATGTCGTCCGCGTGCTGGAAAGCTTTAGGGAATCATTAATGACTTGACGTGTTTTCCCAGCGGAAAGAGCGACAGAACACGACTTCCGTGCGATGCAGTTCCGCTGAACTTGATTCGCTGACGCGACGAGCCGGACGCGACAAAACCTTGTTACAGATGCATTTTAATTCGCCGATAAAGAGACTCGACACTTCGTGTTATTCGCGCATCGCGTCCGACGGATAATGCCGTCTTGAGAGTCTCGAGAGGCGTTTCGAATGCGGCTGAACGTGTTAACAGCTTGATTTTATCGTGAAACTTCCAAGTTCATCTCATCGAACGGTATTCAAAATAGAAGCAAATAAAGTCGAGAGGACTAAACTGTCCTCCTCCCAATCTTCCGCGTGAAAACCCGGCAGAATGCGAGCGAAATTGAACAAGCGTAATTGAACGTTGCCTCACGGAAGGCTATTAAAAAGCTATTAAGAGAATAATACGCATGATAAAAAAAAAGATTACTTGCTAAATATCAGCCGAAAAGCGTCACAAAGAGAGAGAGAGAGAGAGAGAGAGAGAGAGAGAGAGAGAAAGAGAGAGAGAACCGTTTCCCCCGCGGGACGACGCGTCTCGCAGAGACTCTGAGAAGTGACTTCGCTGAGTTCAAAGTTCCCGAAAACGGAACCGGTCCGCTCGCGAGATCGATCGTCTCCTGCCATTCCGCCGAGCCCACTGACACAAATAGACTTTTCGCGTTTCTTTCTCTCTCCTCGGGCTGTTCTCGATGGCGCGCGGCACGCGCGAATCATGTGGAAACGCGCGGACGAGGCAACGACCCGACGACGATGTCGCGAAGGAGAATGCATTTCCCAGTCGCAGAGCAGCGCAGAAGCTTGACGGACGGCGTGAAAACGCGCACAATAGCCGAGCGCGTGTGCGCGTGTGTGCGTGCACGCGTGCGTGTGTGCGTTCCTGTCTCGTCACGGTTGTTCTCGCGTGGCGACAGGTATTGAGTGACAAGCCGATAATGATAAGCGCGACGCGACGCGGAGGGGGAGCTGTTGGTTAAATCGAAGCGACCGAGAGTGAAGGGGGGAAGGGGGGAGGTGGAGTAGCGTGAATAAACGCCTGTGCGCGCGCGTTAATCCGACGTCGCAGCGCGACATGAGCCGCGACATCCGATTTCGCGTCGAACGCGGGGGACGATGAAGCCGAGGACGTGTTCGCGTTCCCGGGAAGAAGAATTCCGTCTAATCGCCGTAATCCTGCACAATTTATTCCGCGAAGCGCTTCCGCGACCGAACGCGTCTCCTCCTCACGTCGCCGTGAAGAATCGACAGACCGCGGGGCTTCTTCTCCCTGCGCGACACTTGACAAGTCTAATGAAAATTACGGTTCGAAACCTTCGAGGGGTCCAAGATCTTCGAATCGACGACCAAGTGAACCTGATCGGGGTGCTATCGCGAGGAGGATACGCAATGCCCAATTGTGCCGGAGCCGCGACGTTTGCTGTGCAAAAAGAAAAGAAAAAAAAAAACCAGCGACGATTAGCGGCAGCTAAGACGGGTTTTCGAAAACAAAAGTATGTTGTGGGAGGAGAAAAGTGTGTCCATCCGTTTCCTTCAGTTGCACATTCGACGTCCGTTGAAAATATAAAGTGGAAAATGTAAAGATCGTTGGGTGAAAATTCGGAGAACTTTTATGAGAAATTACAAACGGTTTCACATCTCGATATAAGTCGAGTAAGGAATACCTCGCGAGGAGACGTATATTTCGTCAATGAAATTCTTCGTGTTTCGTTCACGCGATAAATATGAAACGATAAGAATAACGCACAGCGCAAATTGTTGGCATCTGCTCGCGATGATCTTTGCAATTTCGCAACCTGCTACCATCTCTCCTCCGCACGGTACATTCTTGCAAGTACAAGTTGTCCGACGAGTCTTTGTCCGGGATTAATTAAATTTTTCATCGGAAATGTAGAAGCGCAAACGCGAGTAGCAACTTTCGTCCGTAACGCTCGAGAAGAATTCTTCTTCTCCCGGAACTGAGTTTAAGAGAGACAGATTAAAAAATGGCGACCCCGCCGTGACCACGAGATCAAAAGAAATCTCTGTCGCTTGTTCAAAATATACATTTTTCAGAGCGAGGTATTGTCTTCGAGCGAATCTTCGCGTATCTACTTTCTCATAGTGATAAGACGTTCCGCGTCACAATCGTCATTTCGAGTTTTCTTTAACCGAATTTTTCAAATCTCTTAAAAAACAAAAGACCGGTTCAATCGACATGAAAATTAACGAAACGCGTCCTGGTCGAAGAGAACAGAATTTCTAGCTCTTAGAGCCGAATTCGTCGATTTACAAGAATTAAGAATTCTCCGTCTCTTTCAACCAAGATGTGCGTTCGGCTCGTCCACGCTGATTCAATCAGTCTTTGATGATTACGCTGATTTTATCAGGCCTTGATAACAAGTCTGATAACAAGTCTTGATAAATGCAAACAGCTTCGCGAGAAGCCTGTGAACTTTAAGGAAAACTAGCAAAATTTTACGGGGGAATTCAAAGAACAATTTACGAAAATCCGCCACTTAACAAAAGAATCCACAGGAAGGCAAACCTGCGAAAATCACTCCGCGATATGCACGGAGAGAGAAAGATTGGTCGAATTGATATGACGGTGACACGAGTAAACGCGTTCTGCCGGAATGAACAGAATCTCTAGTTTTAGGAGAACCAAGTTTGGTTCGCGTAAATCGTCACCGTGTCGCGCGTTCACTCGAGCGATCTTTCTCTCCTCCGCGTGCCCGCGCAGCTCGAGCGGGTGAGGATCGTCATACTGACCTAATAGCCGCAGGACACGAGGTACTCGCCCAGTTTTTCAACGACCGATGCAGCTTGTTGTGGTTGTATGGGGTCCTCGTATAAGGAGACAACTACGGCCTGCGTCGTCTTCATGCAATGCACGCCAACTTTACCAAGTTTTGCCCTTATCACACGGTCCGTGCCCGACAGGTAGATGTACCTGCTGCCGGCTAAGGTAACGCCCGACGACGTCAGGATGTCCTGCTCCTCGAAGCTCTGGACTAATTTCGCGAGCTCTTCTTTACTTACCTGAAAGCAGAGAGAGAGAAAACCGTTTTATCAGTAGGCGCAGTGACAACGCGATAATGCGCGGCGGCTTAAGCCCCCCCTTCCCTGCCGCAACGTAAATCCCGCGAACTGACGCGGGAAAACTGCGAGTCACTTTGCCCACCCCTTTCCCACCCCCGCCTCATAGGCGAGTAAATGCCGTGGTAATAGTACGATCGCGTCCTGTCAACTTCCGCTCGGGCGCTCGTTAAGCTCCAATTTTAACGGCGGATTTCTTCGCGGAGAGAGCTAACATCACGCTCTTCGCGCAAATCCTTTATTCCCCAGAAGTAACGGCGTAAATGGAGTGAGAAAGGGGAGCACAAGATGAACCCACATAAAATCCGAAAGAATCTCAACGGATACTCTCTGAGAAAAGTGGAACTTTTACGGCTTACGCGCGATTAACAAACGCGGGAATTTTCGCTCATGCGAATCGCACGAGACGATCGTTTCATGTGTGCGACGCGCCGACACACAAAAAGAATATAAAGCAAGTATGAAAATATTTTAAATATTATAAATATTTAATAAAAATATTTTCAATATTATATATTTAAATATATAATATTACATAATATTCAAAAATATTTTAAATATTATGAAAGCATCATAAACATATTGTAAAAATATTGTAAGAGAGAAGAATGAGAGAGTGGCAGCTTGCTTCGAATTCTCCGCTCGTCGAGCTTTACTTCGACAAGGAGCGAAAGTATCGGCAACGACCGGGAAAACGAGGGAAATTAATCCATAGCGTGTGCGGGTTATGCATCATTGATCAGCGAGACACGCTCGCGCGTGCCTGTGACGTTATCTATTATTACATCACCGTTCGTTACACTGAATCTTGGTTACACGAGAGTAGCACAGACTGGAACTCGCGATTGATAAACAAACGTACGTCTCGGAATTCGCAGCCGTATTTCACGGCAGGGAGAGAAGGAGAGAGAGAGAGAGGGAGAGAGAGAGAACAAGAGAGAAAGAGAGAGAGAGAGAGAGAGAGAGAGAGCGCGGAGAAGCTACATCTTGTCTATTTTATTTGCATCTTCGCAGATGCGCTCCTGAACCATTTGCGGAAGCAGAAATAAGCAACAGCGCGGTATTGTGCGCTGGAAAATGTTTCTATTCACGAATCTATACACGACACGTCGAGAATTGAGCCGCACGAGACGAGCGTTCACCCTTCGTAGCCCTCCTGTGGAGATCTCGTTCCATCGTAAACATATTTTCAGATTTGAATATGTATATACAGTAAGTTAAGTTTTCCTTAAATATCTTAAAAAATATTAGGCAAATAAAAAAATGTTTCAGACAAAAGTTGCTCAAATTAACTAGTAGAAAAAGATAATAATAAAAAATTGAGGTTTCTATTTAAGAAAAATAATGATCAGTGAATATCTCAAAAGTGGCGCAATCTGCAAACAAATTGATATAGATGTTTTATGTCTCCCTTGAAACCATATAACTTTTGTCTGAAACATTTTTCCCTAGAAGGTCGCGTTTTCGAAAAAATCGGGGTCTGACCGATGCTCGTAAACACCCTGTATATACGGGATATGTTTTTAAACAAACAAGCGGGGGAATGTAGTTACATATATTCTTCTCATCAAGGCAAACAAAAACAGTGATTAAAACGCTTGCTTGAAAAATCAATATCAAGCCAAGATTAAAAGAATCAACTTCGCTGTTAACATGATGCAAAGAAAAATATGTATTCAAACGAATTTAAAAAATTAAGAAAATAGAAAATCGAAGGAGAAAATTGAAAATTAAAATTCTTCACATCGTAGACTCTCCTGTGCGTTCAAACACTCTTGGAAAATCGCGTGTTGCCCGACAAGGATCTTCTATTCTTCGTAAAAGTCGTTATCAGTCAGAACCGGGTAAACAATTGTTTTCAAACGGCCTGATAGATAAAAAAAGTCAAGTGGATTTAAGAATTTATATATACATATATAATAAATAAATCTCGCGAGCTTCGTCGCGAGACCCGTTAAATTGGCGCACCCTACGAAGCACCGAACGAAGAAGGAGATTTGGTTATCCGCTTCTTGAGCATCAGCCTCCGCTCGAGAGACCGGTTTCGTTCTTCTTCGCATGCGAAATTCTCCCGACCATTTGTCGGGATGTCTATTTTTAACGAGAGCGCAGGAAAAGCGCGGAATGTATGCGTACATACACGTCTGCCCTACCCTCGTAGCCTGAAGAAGTCAATTCGCCGAGAGTCTCGGGAGAAAAAATTCGCGACGTCGCGCGACGTAATTAAGAGCCGGTTTGAGTTCTTACGAGTCAAACAAGTCCGAGGTGCGCGCGCTTTTAACGCAAACGCCAAGGGAGATGCATACGAAAAGAGCGCTGCCGCCGGACGATCGATATCAAAGTTAAGCCGGCTCTCGATAACGGACGATCGAGCGCTATGAATTATCGCGACGCGCGATCTCAAGTGCCTTAATAGGTTCGGCCGAAGATTAAATTAAACTTCCGCGAACACACGGCGATATATCTCGCGCGCGCGTGACTCGAGATGGAAGCGCACCGGGTCTGCAATCACCGGGTTCCGAGGACGAATGTCCTCACCCCTCGCGAGTGTGACGTCCCGCCGGCCGAAAATACGCTTCTGCGAGAAGTTCAAAGTTCACCGGGTTTCTCGTGACGCGCTTTGACGGGAAACGTCGCCGCGGAGGGCCGTAACGAGTTCATTCCGCGAAATCCACGCGGTGCATCTAATCTCGCGTGCCCCGGGACACGTTGGCCCGAGTCGTCGACAGGCTTGCCGACAACATGCCGAGGTTTGATATTATATCAGGGGGGGGGGGGTACCGAAAAAGTCTTTTCGTTTTTATTCTAAAACTGCATAAAAATAATAAAGTAAATTCGGTCTTGATGAAAGTTGATGTACACGATAAAGAAATGCTGTTAGCTAATCTGGGATTTTTATTAATTCTGGATTAAAATTAAGAACCCGTATATGTAATCACGGAAATTGAAGGCCTTAAAATACGAGAAGACTTTCCGGTTCCCCTGATATATTGTAAAGCGCGAGACTGCCGCCGGCGTGTTCGGAAATGCAGCCGAAGAACTCGTCGTCGAGAAGGGAACAGGATGCGCGACGTCCTCGGTGCGAAGAAACCCGCGCGGGGATGTTCATCTTGACGCGACGAACAAGGACGAGTCATCGGGAATTTCGCCGCGACGTTCTCCTGGAAACACGCGACAGACCCGAGGGAGTTCGGATTTCAAAGTCAAGCGTCTCAGAGTCAATTACTCTTAACCCTTCCGTGTCTAACGGCGCGCCCGTACGGGAGAGAGTGAGAGAGAGGGAGAAATTTATATGTGTGCGTGAAGTCAACGATAAGAGCCATAATTCACGTCGGCATCGATCCTTACGCTACAGCGATAATCACGAGAGAGCACAGCGGTTCTCCTACATCAAGCTAGGGCGAGGACGACGACGACGACAATGATAAATGAGGCCCTAACCGATTCGTAATAATATTAAGGAGTTGCTCTCTCTCTCTCTCTCTCTCAGAATGAGAGGATCTCAAAGTGGAAGAATGACGGCAGCGTGAAACTACAGAGTAATCTGGAAGAGTAACTTGGGAACTCTCCCTATGTTATTTTTCGTATATATAAATCATTCAATCACATGATTCGTGTCAATATAAAATGGTCAATATAAAATCTAAAATTGCGTTACCAATTGACGCAGGGCAGTGAGAAAGCAATTGAAGAAGAAAAGCGCAGTCGCCGTCTCGGCGTTGAAAGGAGACGCGATTTTCCCCGGCCGTCGAGCGCGAAAAATTCACACGCTCGGCTGCGTTAAAAATTCGCTCTCTCCGGAGTCAGGTATTAGTATTTAAATTATTCACGTGACAGAGAGAGAGAAAGAGAGAGAGAGAGAGAGAGAAAGAGAGAGAGAGAGAGAGAGAGAGAGAGAGAGAGGCGCCCTCTTGGAAGCAAGCCTGCGTGTTACGCGCGTTTCGACGCGGATCACGTCACCGTCGAATTAAACGCGAGACGGACGCACGGCGGGCGATCGCGCCGGAAGCGCTCGGCGACGAGGGGAAACCCGGACCTGGGAAAAGGCGAGGAAATGGAAAGAATCGCGAAAAGTGCGGCTGTGGCTTGAAAGTTATTCCTGGAGTGACACAGACGACCAGAGAGGGCCGCGCGAAAGCGGATCGATGCGCGCGCGCGTAAGTGTCGGCGGCTAATCTGAGATGATCTAACGCGGCCTTGAACTATAAGTAAGTGCAGCACCCGATTACGGGCGTCTTTGTACGGCCGCCCGCCTTCTTTCTCACGGCCGACGCAACGCTCATGTGCACGTCGCTCTCGCTTTTGTTCCCTCGTGAACGTTATTTCCGCCGAAACGAGCGCATGCGAGCGGCGTGAAGACGCGCGATACGCCTTTGAAAGCCGAGAGCGAGTTTCCTCGGGGTGAGGGGAGGAGGAGATTCTACAAGTTTCCTGCTCGACTCTCTTCTTCGTCCACGTTCTCTCGACTTCGATGGCGAACGACTCCGACGACTCCTCCGCCGTTCGCGCACGAGACTTGCTTCATTCGACGATCTCAAGGCAATAACGTGTTGTGCATGGATATTTGATAAATGGAAAATTGATAAGCACCGATACTGCAAAAGTGATAGATAAGTATTAATATCGTAAAATTGACAGATAAGCGATGTGTTACTGTAAAAACTTAATTCAATTAATCTCGCGGGATTAATCTCGCGAGGAAGTCGACACGAAGAGCTCGTAAATGAAGCGCAAACGATTCGGGACACCTTGTACAGCCACGCTCGGCAAAGGGTTAGCCAAGTGTGAGAAAAAGAGGAGGGGAGAGAAAGAGAGAGGGAGAAATGATTCCGAGGTTCATCCAAGATTTTTTTGCGCTCCTCACTCTTGGCCGTAGAAAGGAGGTCAGTTTGCGCGTTATCCTCGCGAGAGGATTCGCTCTTTTCGCGTGCGCGCGCTACGAT